GTCGCTCCATTTTCTCCTACAATTTTCAATTAGATTTAGGTCTGGGGATTGTGCTGACCACCTCAACACCTGGACGTTATTTTCTTGGAATCACTCATCCATATTAAAGTTTTCCTTGGCCTTCCTGATTTTAGCATTTTTTCTATGTCTCCTCTTTCGTCATACTGAGAAATAATCCTTGAAATACTCTATTTAGACAAAATACAGCATACCTTTCTTATCTCTCCACAAAATATTGTCAGACAGACTTTAAAAATAACCCTACTATGATTTTTTTGTGAACCCTTCCAGTGCTAAAAAAATTCCAGAAAATTAGAATAACGTGGCAACGTCACATCGTAATTCAAAAAATCAGCTACAGTTGTAAATCCTAAGAAAAGGTCATTCAAAATATGTAAATACACAATACCTATAGGGTATAAAAAAAATAAGTTGTGTATTATGCCTTAAAAACAGAACACTCGGTATAGGTAGTTAAAAATAATTTTAAATTTTTCAAAAGATCGTGCAACTTTCGTCTTCGACTTTTTTTCTGATTCTAATATGTAATTAATTAGATATCGAGGAACGCGCGCTTAGTGACTCACCCTGTATATTTTAAAAAATTCTTCACTGTGTACAAGTTTCAATAAATATTAATAACTAGCTAAAATTAAGCATTGCTCATAAATTTACTTTATCATCAGAAAAGTGAATTTTAACGACATTTTATATTTAAATTAAAATTCTTAATAACTTTTTCTAGATTTACATCTACAAATTTACAAGGCAAATTAATTGTTTCAGACGTAAAGAGCAAAAACTTGTGGGTTAAACTTACGATGTTTAGACAAAAAATGGACATAATCAGTTATTTTAGTACCAGATTTTGCTAGGGATAACAGAGATATGCCCTGACCACATTGACAGCGAGAAGACAAGAAGTTCGAGATTCTAAAATTACAACATACTAATTGGCCTATTATTATTTATATACTAACCTCGCTCATCCTCACGAACCTCGCGTGACTAGAGATCTTTGAACCAGGTGTCATCTTACAAATGACCTCCACTACTCTGATCTAGTCTGCTTATTATTATTGTTGTTATTATTAGTGATATTATCACAACTGTTTGTGTAAACTATATCACCGGATATTAGGCTACATCGGAAGGATAAGTTTAACATGACATGCAAAAAAACGTAAATAACATTTCTTGGACTTGGATAATTTCATTTGTGTTGATACGTGTATCCTGTTTACTACATTTAAAAGAATTGTTTGTTTTCGTCCGACACTAATTAATTCTTCGCAACGTATCAACAATAGCAAAAGTACTTACAATAATGGATACGTTGTTTTTGTCTATTGGCGATTTATTAGACGTATTAAAATGCTTTGAAATTATCGTTCAGGGGATGAAATAGTAAGCCAAATTTGTATTTTCATCCCGTTCATCCCCCTAATATGTTACTAAATTATTTAGTAGGCGTAATTTTATTCAGACATACAGATACTGGAACTTCTGCGTTTATAAATAACTTTACATTTTTTCCCCTAATGTCAATAATTTCCAGCTATTTTCGTTTCGTCCCTCCAGCCCATAAAGCTCTTCGCTGGCCCTGCACCTGCCCATATTTAACTTGTAATCACAACCCCTCCCTATTTGCGACTTCATTCGAGGGGAGCGCGATCCTGCACAATAGTACCTGTCCGTCCCTTTTAATAGCTCTCATAAATAATCAACCCTAGGTGGGCTCGAAATTCATAAAACTCCAAATATTAAAGTCTACAGGTGTCACTTTAATGGCGGATGGGAGCGTTTTTTCCCCAACGACCGTCATTAAAATCACCAATCTGGTAAAGTTCCTAGTGATTGTTTAAGAAGAGCGGTCATCATCATTCACTTTGTACCTTTGTCTGGTCCCTAGTCCGAGCCCTTCCTATCTCGATCTAGCGCAGGTCAATTTCGTGTCGCCTCGGGCGATTCACGTGCACGGAATTTGGGGTGTAAAAAAGGCAACGCTAACTAAGGTGGGCGGCCGAAATGGACCCGATGGACTGTACAGGATGTTGATGATTAGACACGGTTTGAGCCAGGTATGTATGAATTCCGGATGGAGGTATGGCATTTTTTAATCTGTGGTAGCGGAATGAAATATTCATTAGCACTTCGGGGAAAAGGAAATGGACAGGGATTCGGCTTAAAAAGCTGACGTCAAAAGCTCATCATAGAAATTAAGGGGTGTTTAAACCGGCCTAATTCCAATTAAGTCTGGAAATTTGCATTTTATTATTACTGTGTAGTATTTTGCCGTGTCAGGTTGATTAATTTTGAAAGTTAAAGAGTCATGTGTTCTTTTTTATGTTTTTTCCGTACCTATTGTTGATTTAGCAGATTTTAGTTACTTAGCTGTGTCGTGTAAGAACATTTACAGCAACTGAATTTCAATGATTGATGACACTTTTTTCTTCGCAAGTCGTTAAAGTAATGGGGTCATTTTGATGAATGTTCAGGTTTCCATGGCTTGAAAAATACGGAAATGTGAGTTTCCTACTTCTGTCTGTTTGTTCAACAATAATCTGATTTTGTCTATTGCGTTTTTCTAAAGATTAATGACGTTATGCACTATAACAACCCACTACCCTATATATAAGTGTTGTCCCTTCTAGATGATTCAGTAAGAATTAATTACATAGATTTCGTGTTTGTGGTCCCGGGGCAAAATTTAAAAAATACTCGGTTTGATTTTTTTTTAACAATGCTGATATTAGTAAAAATTATGTGGTATCCTCTAGCCAAACATTGCCTGTTCTATATAATATATTTAATGGTAAGAAAGGTGTCAATTTATTATTAACTGCTAATTTTTGGCCCTCAGAGACGAGAAAGCCCACGGAAAAAATTGCAAATTTAAATTTTTGTTAATGCATATCTACTCAGTTTACACAATATATGTCGTGTTTTGTTATCTTGACGAAAAAACATCTGATGTAAATTTTTGCTTGTTTAAATTATCGCTATCTCTATAAAAACGAAAATCATAAACAAAACTCTTTAGATTAAAAATTCCGAGAAAGTAAGTACAGGCTTAGTACCTACTCTTAATGAACATGAAATAAAAATTTCGTCAAAACAAAGAGATAATTTTTTAGTAATATGTATTTTTAGCAACTGCAAGATAATTAAAACGGGAAGAGAATTTCGCAACTATTATCAAAATCCACATATTTTACTTTTTGGTTAATACAATTGTTTAATAATAAATTTGATAACACAATTCTGTTTTGTTGTATGTTTGATATACATATTGTGCGTGGCAAAAAATCAAATTAAAAAACTTACGTTCATAATACAAAATAACCTCATATTTTATTTACCTGTAGACTAATAAGATGTTTACATTTATACCTTTTATATAAAATCATCTAAAATTCTCTTTTACGAAAATTGAATATGCAACAGAGTATTATGAGATCAGATATTATTTTGTATTATTTAAATTTTTCACTCAAACTAAAATTTCTTTGACGACTGAAAAAAATCATTGTTTTATAGTGCTTCTTGGAAAAATTATGAATACAGATAGTTTTTCATGATTTTGAGAGAGTTATAATTATATTAATTATTATTATTATTATTAGGTTCCCAAGCAAAGGAAGTTACATGTTAATTAAACGACGCAAATAGTTTGGTGGCAGTTCACATTCTCAAACTGAAAAGAATTTTAGTTCGTATTATTTATAGTAATTTATACCATACGCAGGTACTAACGACCTTTGCAAAATATAAAACAAACTAACCCGGAATTATCTATAAACAACCACTAAAAAAAATTGGATACTTAGTATATACAGGGTCAGTCAGCTAGTAATTGTATTAAATTTGTAAATGGAGAATAATAGCCCGCGTGCATACTTAAACTCACTGCTTTAAAAAAAGCAACGGAAAAAAGTACATTAAACTTTTTTTATTTTTAAAATTTTGCAATTTTTCTTATTTCAAAAAATGTAAAAAATTAGCTTTAGTAGTTTCACTATTTTATATTATCAAATTATTACAATTTTTCTGAAAAAAAAAAAAAATGTTTAACGATGTTCGCTAGTGCAACTTGACGTATAATTTGGTAAAATGTTGGATTGTTCTGAAGATCATAATAAATGAAACAATTTCATTTATCCTCAATTCTCAAAAATAGAATATGCTTCATTACTTGAGTAAAAACGTGTTTAGAAAACAAAGCACAGAAAATGCTTTAAGAAAATATATTTTACAAAAGCAAATAAAACGTATCAAAAATAATAAACATACAACTTTGCAGAGTTTTTTTTTTCTCAATTTTATCGTAAAATAAAAATTCAGACTAATTAACGGTTTTGTGGTGATTCTTTAAAAGTATTTTGCTTTTGCTTTCTATTTTACATTTATATTTAAAAGAATACTTATACTTAACGGACACAATTAATGCATTATATTAAACAAAATGGATGTTTTTCAAATTTTTGGCCATTATTGTAGTTACAGTTATGAAATACCGTTTAAAATAAAAAATATGACATACTGACCAGACTAAAAGGCTATAAAAGTTTATCTCTGGGTTTTCATAGAAGTTTATTGGGATTAAAACGGTAAACTTTAATAAACAAACGTTGATTTTCTCTGTGCAGTTAATTATCGTATGTGGAATATTGCTTTTAAAATTTTTCATGTTGTATTCGAACGGAATAGGTAAGTAATTCAGTTACTTATCTCAACATTTTGAGTGCCGCTGGAACATGTCCGCCGGCATCGGCTCTGGCACGAGACAAAACAATCTCGACCCTTTCAAACAGGTAGGCCATAAAATCAGTCAGCTTATTTGTCAGGTGGTCGTGAAAACAACCTGTTGTCGAAACCAGCGCAACTCGTTTGGCCGACTGCACCTATACCTGACCAAATTTCTAGAAATGCAAAACTTCTTCAAGAATTCAATGTTTACAACACTTTACGACCCTGAAAACGAAATAAAACCAAAGAAATCATGTCAAAAATATTTTTATTCAATGAAAACATAAAAAAACTTAAAATTAAGTGGAAGACATCGTATAAAACATCTTAAAAATTAAAGCTGCCATCACAATATAAAATTGCAAGAGGTACTATCTACTATCACAATGACATCAGTCAAATTTGAGCATCAGGATCACACTGGAAAATCAATCACTGGTCGGCTACGCTTGAGCCCATCGGTATGCGGGAACTTGGAGCTCCGGCTGCTGGTAATTCGTGATGGCGTTCTTGTCGCCTTGGCTGTTAATGTCGCAGTCTGGCGCCACCATCGAGGTCCAGAAGAACGTGCCAGCTTCCGTCCTTGCAAAGTGAACCGGAATGTAGCGCTGCCCGCGGAAAACCGGAACGATGTCCATGTGTCCGTTGTTGTAGACAGAGACGGCGGCGAACTCCTCGCAGCAGTCGATCTCCTCGAATATCTCGTTCTCCAGGAGCTCGTTGGCGATGTTGTCGTCGATCTCGCTCTCGTACTCGTCGACGAAGTACTCGGGCTGCGGCGACTTCTTGTAGGTGTTGCTCGGCGCCCTTTTCAGTAGTGTGAAAATGGGCTTGATGATGCGCTTCAGCTGATGCATCGGCGACTTGGCCTTCTTCGCGTTGAAGCGGTTGTCGTTGGCTACGTTGTCGTTGTGGAAACTCATGATGCTAAGACACGGATGTGAATGATGAGAGGACATGGGGTTCAAGCTTATATACACGGTGGTTGTGACGTCAGGAACCCTTAAGGCTAAGTGGGGCATGAACCCCTGGGCCTATGAGCGTTGAGAACAGGGACAGGTGTGCGTATTTCGGCGGAGTGAAACGAGTCGATGTCGCGTGAGGCGCGCTGGAGCGAGATGGGCGACATGTGTGGGGTGTGGATCGTGAGAATCGCAACTCGGAATAGGTTCCCACACATCGAAAGGCAGATGGTGAACGTGCAGGGGTGTTTTTCCAAAGATTTGCTGCCACCTTTATTCAGTACACCCTCGTATCCTTTTACTTTTATGCAGTTTGACCCTTTTATGCACCCCATCTCCGAGACCGCGCATACAATACCGTCTTTGGTCAGGTTAGCGGTGGTCAGTTACGTTGAATCATCTTCAAGGGTTGTTTTCGATCGAGGAATTCTACCTGACCCACACAAACATGTTTGTACCATTTCCGAGTGTTAATTAAAAAGCACGACCGTCTTGGGCTAATAAAACCCACATGAACCGTAAAAATAACTTAAGTACCTTCGGAGTTGTAAACTAGTGGAATTTATTCGAGTCCGACAAGAAAAAACCGAATAGATAGCCTCCTGTCAGCCTTTTATGTTGGTAACAATAAGATTTAATGTATTCTTTCTTATGGGAGTCTAATAAGAATGAGCGGTGATTACGCGCTCCTCCAATAAAAATAAAGGACATGCCTTATATGGCCGACATTTTTAAATAACTTGCACCTGCTGCTGTAGAGATTTAACTTCGCTCTCAGCCAAAAAACCTGCACCTATCATTTACTCATGTGCCGAGAGAAACTACTCTTCAGAAATCTGAATCTAAACGATAGCCGCAAAAAATCAATGTGAATGCTCAGTAATTTGTAATCATTGTACCTGTTGGCTCGAAAGCGTTTTGGCATAATTTATGCACCCCGGTTACACCCAAACAAAACAAGTACATCGTTATTTCCTTTATTAAAACGGACCCCAAGTACACTGAGGCGAGAAATTGGCTAAAAAGGATATAGAAATTTATTTACCATGTATGCGCTTCCGCCGCACTTCCTGCAATATTTTTACTATGATGAATACAATTTTGTGATGATCATGATCAAATCCTTCTGCGCATTACTGTCGCGTAGTATGTTGTTATTTTTTTTAATAAAGCTGTTTTACGAAGTTGCAGTGAAAAATTTACAAAAGCAGCAGGTAGCTTTAGCTTTATGAGGTTCAAATTTGGGTGGGTGATCGAGTGATTATTATGAAATTTGCGTTATCGGTATTTTCATTTTTTAAGGTATATTATGGAATGAAATGACAATTTGGGTTTCTATTTTTATATATTTACCTATATATTGTGTTTATTTTCATTTCAGCTCCAATTACGATATTTATATTTTCAGAGGACATAGTTTAAATACCTGTATATCAAATTTCAATGATAAACCGTTCTGGAAATATTTAGCTGTATTCATACTTTTGAGCAACCCTGTAGGTACTTTTATTGTTTTATTTTTAGTAGGTTTCAGTTAGTCACTTAAAATTTTATACCGGGTTATTTTTTTTTTCTGAGTTTGCACTGCTCATTACGTCACCAACTTACGTAGGTCGTCTCTTATTAGAACATACAACTGCAACTACATTTTGTGATGGGTTGCTTGCAATGGTCGCTTTTTACATAACCTAAATTGGGCGGCATTTTGGCAAGTTAAAGTTATGACCTGCTTTTTGGTCAAATTTGTTTGGTCACAAATTTTTGGACAACTAGATCAGAAATCACCCGGTATAACTGCATTCAACTTTTTCATTTCTTTTAACAATCAGTTAAAATGTGGTAATGATTTGTCATATTGCGTGCCTTTATCGTTGATTGATTTATTATTCTGTGCGTTGTAGCTGTGAACACACTGCAAAATATACTAGTTTTTAATGCGTTTTGTCCTAGATTTAAATAGCTTTCCAATAACGTAATTGAGATTTTTTATGTCGTTCGGCGGAACTGAACAATTCAGCGGATAAACTGTCGATAATAGGGTCCAATTTTATATAAATAAATAGTAGAAATGATTTTAATTTCAAAATATTATTAACATACTATATTATCAACATAGTAATTAGCAGTAGGTGCGTAGTCAGGAATAAAATTATAAGTACGAAATACAGAGCCTACTCATACGTGTAATAGCTAATAGTAGGAGGAAGGTATTTTGCATTTTTTATGAAACAGTTTGAAACAATTTGCTTTGATTAACTTTATTTCTTTGTCAGTACTAACGCCGACAGTTGATTGGTATCTAATCAGTTCAAAAAGTGCCTTGATTTATAATGATCCGACTACACCCACACTCAAGTCGTACTTTATCCAGTTTCGCCCATTCAGAAGAAGTCGGCTACCTTGCGTAACAACAGATGTCCCTTCGACCTGTTGCAACTTGCAAGATTTCTTCAGCTCGTAGCGTTCCAATTATCCCCCATAATTAATCGGTCTTTCAACGCCTAATCACTGCCGATCTAACGGTTTTTCCCCTCCGAGGGTTTAGGGTTACCGTTTGACAAGTCCGCAGCAAGTGCCACTTAAAACCAATAACGGTAGGGTTGAAAGAGTTAGAATTGCCTCCACTTGCTGCCGTACATAAAGGGTAAAGGAATTCGCTCTTTCGGGTTTTTACAATGGAAGGGGTGAAATTCAATGCGAACAAAGGGTTGTGTGTGCTAATATGCCGTTTGAGTGGCACAACACGGTAATTTGAGATCGTTCACAGTTTTTTGGATTCAAAGGCGGGATTTGTTTTTTTGGCCGTCCGTCGGCAGAAAAAATTGTGAAATCTGAGATCGGCGCTGCTTAGTGGTGGAGCTTTATGCTTCTGAAGGATTAAAGTGGTTTGGGTTTTTTTATAGCGACAAGGTGCAAGAGCGCGTGATGGTCAAAAAAATGGAAGGACTGGTAGACATTTTTTGCAACTTGCAACTGATGGATTAACATTTTTATCAAGCTTCTGTGTGAGTGATAGTAAAATAAACAATTAGATATCTAATATTCTTTTTTGCATATTTTAACTAACATAACAAGTTTGAAATTGCATATTAATAAATACATAAATATTTTAAATTTTTGACTCACCAAATCATTAAATGGAGTAACAAGTTTGTTCTCGGAATGATATTGGATTTATCGAATTTGACTTGTCACTGTAACAGTCGGTTGACTTGGTAAATAAATAAAAAAAATGTTTTTGAAAAAAATTAACGAGTAATTCGTAAAAAATTTCTGACAATGTCAAAAAAATGGTTCTAAGTTTTTTCAGAAATTGAGCAACACAACGCAATGGTCTTAATACAGATTTGAATGACGAAGTGGATTTAAAAGAGAATATAACCAGTGTTTTAACGTGGATATCAATACGTTTGACAGGCAGATGGATATTTTTATGTGTAAGTATCATCTACGAGTTCTACAACATATTTTCTGTAATGGCGAACATAAATTCTGCAAATTTTGTACATATTTAATGCACTCATTTTGTCATTAAACTACACACATTATATATCGAACACTAATCATATTATTACTGACAATAACACGTATGCACAGATTGTTAGGATAAGTAGAATCGTAGAATAATGTTCAATGTATGTGTGTAAAGAAGAGCAGCTGCTTCACGTAGTAATGGTTTAAATTAATTTTAATAAAATGGATACGACTCAGCTTTGTAATTCAAATTACTGGAGTTAAACATACACCAATTTAATCAACATAATTATCTTGTTAACTTAACGTGCCTACTTATTGTAGGTTACGTCCATTTTACACACATAAGTTGTCCCATAAATCATGGTCAGTATCAAAATGTTTTTTTTACTTTACAAGTTTGAAATTTTGAGAATTAATGTTATAGAATATCCAAAACAGTGGTAATTTAAAAATTCAAAATTACGGGGTAAACATTACTTCAGATCTTTTTTTTTCATAAAAATGGTAAGTATTTGATTATTTTCTAATTACGTCTAAACTGTTCGCAAACTTATTTTTACGTCACGCCGCGCCAGTACGTTATAAATCTTTGGACAATACCCTTTGCCTATGTGAAGGCCACATTATCATGTCTGGGCATTGGGCCGGAGGCAACATTTGCGTGGTTTCGATTGAATTTATAGAGTCGTAATTTGTAAAATATCTTCATAATTAGACACTAATATATTCGTAATTATGAATAATTAACCAGTTAAAAAGTATAAATTTGAATAACGTAAATCAAATAAAAGTAGTTTTCTGGGGAAAAAGTAGTAGTATTAGACAATGATAAAAATTGTTAACACGTGATTTTTATTCTTTGTTTTAATTTACAATTATTTATTAATAAAATGTCAACTTTAACGTAGGAATTATAAAAACAAATCCTTAGACAACACTTACATCATCCTATCCGAACCCAATCTTGGTCTTATTATTGACCACAAAAAAAGATCTTGTTTGTCTTATTGTTAAAATTGTAGGAATTAATGAGTATGCAACAGTCAATTGCGTACATTTAAACGACAATGGTACAGATCTGCTTATATGGAAATCATCACCCGATAATCCTTTATAATAATAGGTATATTTCATTCTTTTCTAAACTTTTCACAATTTATTCAGGACAATAGAATAGTCAACCGTAAGTCTGGAATTCGTCATAATGCTTATCCTCTTGTGAAAGAGGATAGTCATCATCCATCTTCGTTTATGACATTTTGTTCAATATACCTTCTGCAGACATCTTCACCCCATAGACTCAAAATTTTTAAGTACAATTCTTGAAAATCTGATTTCCTAGGTTTGTATCCAGCAATTAGTATTTGCCGTTGCGATGATATTCTTTGTACTTAAGTTATAAATGTTGCATGTATTCGTCTTAATAATGCCATCCTACAGCGTTTCGATATTTGTGTTCTGAAATATAAAAAAAATGGTTTTAGTCTTAACATCATTAAGGTACGAAAAGATAAAGGTCGTTAGTGGAAAAAGTAAAAAAAAACTAGTCTTTTGTCTTATAAAGAAAAAACGAAACAAAGTGGA